AACTGTCAGAATAAGGATTCCTGCTAAAAGAAAGCCCCACACATCTGATCTTAATGCAGCTGGGAAAGTTCAAAGTCTCAGATTTATTTAATCTCAATTCTTGCTTTTCCTGCAGGAATCCCTATTATGATTAGAGATGCGTAGGCCAGCTGGGACCTTTGCTCATTCCTCAAACTCAACCTATACCCTATCTAAAGGGTGAGAGAGTGAGTGTGTGTATTGTACCTTCAGGAATACTGGAAAACTCATGAGAAAGCCTTTTCATGGGAGACTTTTTTCAGCCCTAATATTTGTGTGCTTATCCCAAGGGTACACCTAAACATTATGATCCATCACCACCTCTCCAATTTCTCTGCAGCTCCTTCTGTGTCTGTTCCCTCCTCTTCTTGATAATATGTTCACCATCTTCAGCTACCCTCCTATCTTCAGCATCTTTCCACACTCTGGCTAGCTGCAGTGGGGTGGACACCCGCTCTGGCCCAGAGGGGTTTAAAATAGCCCTGGGAGGGGGCTGGGGCAGGGGAAGAGCTGGGCTGATTGGCAGAGCAGCCACAGCTGGGGGCCAAGCCCCAAACAGACCCAGCAGGCCTTATCATAGAATCATAGAATATCAGGGTTGGAAGGGACCTCAGGAGGTCATCTAGTCCAACCCCCTGCTCAAAGCAGGACCAATCCCCAATTAAATCATCCCAGCCAGGGCTTTGTCAAGCCTGACCTTAAAAACTTCTAAGGAAGGAGATTCCACCACCTCCCTAGGTAATGCATTCCAGTGTTTCACCACCCTCCTAGTGAAAAAGTTTTTCCTAATATCCAACCTAAACCTCCCCCACTGCAATTTGAGACCATTACTCCTTGTTCTGTCATCTGCTACCACTGAGACCAGTCTAGAGCCATCCTCTTTGGAACCCCCTTTCAGGTAGTTGAAAGCAGCTATCAAATCCCCCCTCACTCTTCTCTTCCGCAGACTAAACATCCCCAGTTCCCTCAGCCTCTCCTCATAAGTCATGTGTTCCAGACCCCTAATCATTTTTGTTGCCCTCCGCTGGACTCTTTCCAATTTTTCCACATCCTTCTTGTAGGGTGGGGTCCAAAACTGGACACAGTACTCCAGATGAGGCCTCACCAGTGTCAAATAGAGGGGAACGATCACGTCCCTCGATCTGCTGGCAATGCCCCTACTTATACATCCCAAAATGCCATTGGCCTTCTTGGCAACAAGGGCACACTGTTGACTCATATCCAGCTTCTCGTCCACTGTAACCCCTAGGTCCTTTTCTGCAGAACTGCTGCCAAGCCATTCGGTCCCTAGTCTGTAGCGGTGCATGGGGTTCTTCCGTCCTAAGTGCAGGACTCTGCACTTGTTTTTGTTGAAGCTCATCAGATTTCTTTCGGCCCAATCCTCCAATTTGTCTAGGGCCCTCTGTATCCTATCCCTACCCTCCAGCGTATCTACCTCTCCTCCCAGTTTAGTGTCATCTGCAAACTTGCTGAGGGTGCAATCCATACCATCCTCCAGATCATTTATGAAGATATTGAACAAAACCGGCCCCAGGACCGACCCTTGGGGCACTCCACTTGATACCGGCTGCCAACCAGACATGGAGCCATTGATCACTACCCGTTGAGCCCGACAATCTAGCCAGCTTTCTATCCACCTTATAGTCCATTCATCCAGCCCATACTTCTTTAACTTGCTGGCAAGAATACTGTGGGAGACAGCGTCAAAAGCTTTGCTAAAGTCAAGGAACAACACGTCCACTGCTTTCCCTTCATCCACAGAACCAGTTACCTCGTCATAGAAGGCAATTAGATTAGTCAGGCATGACTTGCCCTTGGTGAATCCATGCCTTATAAAGGCCAGGGAAGCCAGGAGCAGGAGAGACACTCTCTCTAGCTCTGAGAGGTAGGGACCTGGCTGCAGAGACCTGAATAGAGGACCTAGTTTGGAGCAGGGCTGGGGAAAGGTCAAGGGAGCCGGGGAGCTCTGCCCAAGGAAAGCCCCAGGCTGCAGGCCTGGGAAGGCCTATTAGGTACAGGGGTTGCAGGGGCAGCCACGAGTAGGCAGAGGCAGCAGGTCCAAACCCAGCCTTGCCAGTGATGAGTGGCTCATACTGCAGTCTGCCCCAGGGCGCGGGGACTAGCTGGTGACTGGCAGGAGCCTACGACTGAGGCGAGGTAGGGATAGTGGATGGAGGGTTCCCCTGGTAGGGGGAGCCCCAGAACTGTGGGGTACTGCCGGAGGGCAGCACCCAGTGAAAGCGGCAGGTTCCCCTGGGAGGGACACAGGAGCCAGCAGGGACACCGGCCTGAAGAGGGTGCTCCGGAGGCTGGAATGCTAATTCCCTGAGATGACCAGCAGGAGGCACCGCCGGTGAGTCTGCGCACAGTTACACTAGCCCATCAATTATGTCTACCTTGTTGCATCAGTTTCCCTCCACTACTGGAGGGCCTATTGAGCGCCTTTGAACTAAATCCACAGAGACCACATGAACTCTCCAAAGTTCTCCTTCCTAAACAAGGTAACTTCACCCCCACCCTAAATGTTTCCTGATCTCCAGCTTGCTGTACTTGGTCACCACTCTCCACACAACCCTATTCACTGAAGTATCACACGCTTAGGGTGTGTCTACACCACCCCACAGTTTGGACTAAAGGGGTGTGAATACTACTCCAAACCAAAGTGCTATACTGTAACTATCCTGTATGGATACCAAGGATGCAAACTAGAGTTCCTAGTTCACGTTAACATACTCCTCTTCAAAGACGACTTTATTAATGCAAACTAGGAACATTTTAGTTTGCGCCTGTAGCATCTGCATGGGGCAGATACAGCGCAGCCCTTAGGTATACACTGCTATTCACTCCTCCGAAGTCCAAACTGCAAGGCAGGGTAGACATAGCCTTAGATTTTGACAGGAGGTGGCCACAACTTTAGCTTCGCACAGGTGTGTGTGTCTTCCATTTGTTCTCCATTTTTTAAATTCAAGTCTACGGATAGCAATTTATTAAAACACATTCCCAATTGCTGCTTCTATTCCATACAAGAATTATCCTCGGTATGAAATTTTCGCTGCATTCCCTAAGTACTTAGCCCTTTCTTAAATGCTGATTTTAATCGCATTATCTCAACCTTTCACTGTCTTATTTCATCTTTTCGGGTTACTACCAACCAATTTTTCCTTGGCTCTCCTTAGAGTTCAAACTTCTTTTTATACTGGCACCATGCTATAAAAATGTCACAGTACCGTGCATATGCATTTTAATTATCTCCAGATGCAAATGTTTTAACAATGGCTAATGTGCAAGGATTTCAATGGCTCTTCATCTCAACACTGAAGACCATCTGTACAACTAACAAGGCTTTTTGGTAAATTGCAGAAACAAACTGGAACAAAACAAACCTGACCATGAAAACCCAGAGTAAACATGAACACTCCTGCCACAGGGACAGACATTCCAACTCAGGAGTTAAGATGTCCGACAGGAACTTTCATCCCATGTCCTTTTAAAGATACTGTGCTTTTGTGGCTGATCTAATACTTCTAAACTAAAGATCACATTAAGAAACAGAATTATATATAGGCTGGTCAAAAATCATTTTTATTTTTGTATAATGTTGACGGATAACATCAATGTTTATTTTAAGCATTTTTATTAATTTAAATTTTCACAGTTGTAAAGTAAGCAGGGATCAGACAATAGGAGGGTTAGACAATTATTTATGACAGTGGGGACAGATTCAAATAGTTAAAGCTTTATAAGGTTTAAATACAAACTGTCCACTTTACAAAGTAAATATCCCTTATGTAAAACTAATATTAAAGTTTTCAAGAAGCATTTTTCTTATATAGATTATCTGTAAATTTTGATTAATAGAAATAGTTTTTCCTTGGTTTGTGTGTGTATGGAGAAAATTGATATCTACCAACATTTATCGATAAAAGTCTAATCTTTCCTAACCTAATTACATGTAGTAATAAAAATAATGATCTGTTCCAAGCACTCCAAATAATTGTTAAGATTCATTCTCTACTGTATCCCTTAAACCTTTCCTTTGCGTGTATTATATCTAATTTATAATGTAAGCTCCTTGTAGCAGGGCCCTTTTAACAGTTCTGAAAAGCCTCATGCAGTTGTGAGGTGCTGCAGAAATAATAAAATTAACTGACTCATAAGAAATATCCCACCTCGCTAGTGATATGTCTATGTAGATTCTTACATGGCCCTCATTTGCTATAGGACACCAGCATCTCAAACATATTGTTTGTATGAAGGTAGTGTCTAAAGGCGCCAAGTAGGATCTGTGCCCCATTGTGCTGCGTACACACAGACAGCGCCTGACCTGAACACCTGGCACTCTAAAACTAAGGATGAGAATGAAACAGGCACAAAGAGGAGATGTGACTTGCTCAAAGTCACGCAGCAGGAGTGACCAAGCTCGGAACATCGAGTCCAGTGCCCTACCCACTAGATCAAGCTGCCTCTCCACATTAATGGATTCATCATAACAAACACTCTCCAACCCTGTAAGGCACATGAATATTACCATTCCAAATTTGCAGATGGGGAACTGAGGCAGAGAGATTAAAGGACTTGCTCAAGGTCAATCGAGAAGTCTGTGGCACAACCAGGAATTGTACCTTCCTTTGTAGTATTTCAGACCAGTGCCTTAAAACACAAGTCCATCTCTCCCTCTCCTTGGAAAGGGCATGTGTCTGCAAGAGGGTGGTGGCGGTGCAGAACAGCAGCAGTGTAGAGCACAATTTCGAGATCTCATTCATTTCAGAAAATGTGTAGTCATTTTAATAGAAGCTGAGAGACTTCACCAGTCGTTAGACTAACACAAATCTAAACAAACCGTCAATTACGAGATTCTGTATACGTGCACAGTTTGGAAAAGACTATGGACAACTTGTTTGCAAATAGCTCTTCTCCAGTCCCCTCCTCTCCCCGTTCCCACCCACCCCACTGTCAAAATGTTACAAGGAAAAGCCACTCACTCTGTAAGCAATCAGCATTGAGCAGGTCTTGGCACTTCTCGTGACATTTGACCCCACATTCAGTGCAGCGCATACCCTGCCGTGCAATGCCCCATAGGAGCCCTTCACACTCGTAGCAATATGTAGGGGTCGTAGCTGTCCACACCTCAAAATTGTGAGGGGTTGTGCAGGAGATAGGGTAAATTAAGGCTTGCAGGGTCTTCTTATATACATGAGATTTCTGCAATACAAGAACACACATGAAGCAATGTCTGGGATTAGGATGCTGTTAACATGCATTGTTTAAGCAAGAGAGTCTTATCCTGGGATGATGGGACTGTTTTCTTTAGGGAATGTATCATTTTTCTTGAATGAAAAAGAGAAAAGGCTAAGATTAAATCATCAACGCCTGTCATGTTACGCCTGATGGAGCCATGACTGAGATAGCCAAGCATGCTAACCAGAGGACCTTGTAGAAAACACCATTTCAAAATCAGTTTTGCAGTTACTTTAAATAAACCATAACCAATGACATTCAGAGAGCAAGAGAAGTTAGGTCTGTGTGTAATAGTACACTACATAACAAAGTTCTACTCGGCATGTCTTTGTTCAGAAATCAGACCCTTACATGCTATTCTAAGGTTCTATCTGGGACATCATATTTGACACACATTTTTTTTAAAAACCAAGTAATACCGGTTGCTTTACACCTAGACTCCTCGTCCTGCAGTGCTCATCTGATACTCCAAGAAGAATCTCAATATTCACAGAACCAGCCCCCCAATTAATTTGTTTAGGAAAGGCCCCGGGGAACAAATAAACTCTACTTACCAGCTCTTCATCCTTAAGAGAAGTTCTAGTGGCCATTGCTGAGGTAATTCCAGCCTTCCTGGATTGAGCCAATGACTGAGAAGGAAAAGTGTCTGTTATTCATTACAAAAGTGTGCACAAATTCACTGGAGGTCACATATTTATACATGCACAAAAGGGAAGATTCTGCTACCAGCAACGGTACTGAACAGAAAGTCTACACAAGTCAACAGCCCTCTGCTACATATTCCAAATGTAATTTCCTTACCCCAGAATGAGTCAGGGTGTATACTTTAAATACATAAAACTTGTTAACCATTTATGTTTCCTTCTGCCCCAATCCACTTTGTTCTGGAGTGAATTTTATTATTTTCCTCTGTATGAAGTGTAGATGAAAACTGGATTCTCTCCTGCATCCTTGAAACAGACAAGGTTTATACACAGTGTTCTAAACTCATGCTCCAGCTTCTACATTCAAGTTCACTCAGACAAAGGACATCAAATTATCAGCCTTGTCACCTAGAAAGAGCTCCAAACAGGGATGGCTGGATTGGGTCAGAATGAGGAGAATAAACTAAAATCTTGAAGGACTTTATGGGGTTGGAAGGGCAGTGTGTTCGAATGTGTCTGTGTGTCACATGCAATGGCAATCACCGAATATAATGATCATCACTGCTTCTCAGAGTATCTACCTTCACATTACATATGATGGAGGGACTGCAATCTTACATTTCTTTGGTTACTGTTTTTTCAGCACCTGCCACTGGCATCTAAACAATATCTAAAAGGCTAGATAAGCAGATTAGGTCCTCCAGCAAACTACTCTAGCTATAGGAAGGCAGACAAGGAAATACGAGATGATGTTGCTGGTTCTAATAAAGCCAGCTAACCCTCTCAGAAGCCATCTCTTACTCTGATTTATGATGCTTGAGAGAAGACTGAAAAGGTTCATTCAGTCAGTGATGTGGTGGGCCAGAGTGAGGCATATGCATGCATTGTGGTATGGCAGCATTCAAAATAAAAAAGCAGAAACATTGGAGGGGAAGTAAAGTAAAAAAAATCTTTACTTCAGGTAAAGACGTGGTGGACAGTTTTTAGCTCCACTTACCATGACCTGTAGAGAGAGTGTGAAAGCATACAAAAGAAGTATAATAGGTTAATTCCATTATTACAAAGTTCCCAGAGATACAAGCAGTTAGTAAAACATACCCTCCTAGCCTCTGCACGTGCCAGATGAACAAACCAAATTCTCTATCTTTACATAGAATACATTTAGATATCAGTGTATGGAGGTTAGAGATTTCACAACTTCTCCCAAATGTTAACGTATTAGCTGCGCCTGGTACAATACTCAAACACCATCCATAAAAGTTACACTCATCTGACATGCCATCAGCGTAAGAAGGCAAGCTGACCTCACTGTATGGTTTCTATTGGAACATGTAACAGTGGGCAAACAGGTTTCAGTGATGGGAGGAATTTTTAACCTTCAAGGAGCACAACAAGTCCTGTGTACAGACACGAAGAAACAGTCGGCAGATTTATTTCTCTTGAACGTTCTTAGCACCTAGTATTTTTCCGAAACACCAGTCTAGACGTTTTCATATTCTACCCATAGGTTGGAGATAAATTAACTGGAGTAATAAACAGTATTGCGCCCCAAGGCACAAAATGACTACAGCAATTATTATATTCATAGAAAGAAAAATCTTACCAAATCACTGACAAGTGGAATTGGTTTCTTTTTACGTAGATCAGGCATGCTGTCAATGCCATAGAGACCACCTGCAGGCCTGGAAGTACATGGGGGAAATGTGTTAATAAGGTCACAGAAATGACACAGTATGATACTGTCACAAAACATCCTGTAGAAACCAAACATGGCCTCCTGCAAATATTGATCACTCTGCTAATAAAGTAATCAATGTAAATAGAAGGAATCAATCTTGACACTTGAAGGATTAATACATTGTGACTCAGTAATAAATAGAAAAGGAGTACTTGTGGCACCTTAGAGACTAACCAATTTATTTGAGCATGAGCTTTCGTGAGCCACAGCTGAGCTGTGGCTCACGAAAGCTCATGCTCAAATAAATTGGTTAGTCTCTAAGGTGCCACAAGTACTCCTTTTCTTTTTGCGAATACAGACTAACACGGCTGTTCCTCTGAAACCAGTAATAAATAGAAAATGCTAAACCTACAACGAATAACCGTGTCAAGTTTAAATGCTGAGAAGCACTTTGCTTTCTTTTGGTATAGCTGCATCCACAATTTACTGCTGCTATTTTGAGCAGCATGTCATAAAAGTCCTTGGAGGTTTGGAAACCATGTTGGCCTCCTTCTTATCCCCTCTCTTCGCCGCCCCTCCCAATGAAATCAGTTTTGATCTCTTCTTCAGAAAAAAAATCACAAGTTTTGACAGAGTTAATGCCAGAAGTAATCATACACAATTGTGGCAGCAACACTTCAAACTCTAGACAGACACACTCCATTTACTGTAACCCCAGCCTCCTGTCATTTTTTGTGTATCTACCAATATTCGGAACACTGTTACAGTGTGAGAGAGAGGTAGATAAGGTGGGAAAGTGCCAAAGGGAGAATGACCAGCCTAAAGGTCATAGCCAACTGTCATTCACATCAGTGCAGAACACAAGTCCTGGGACTCAGGCCTTTAGGATTTTGGGGGGAAATTCCGTATTTTGGGGAAAAGGAGAAAACATTTCTCTAGTTTTTTTATTTTTATGATACCAAGACTATTTCTAATATTCCAAACCTCGGGGCAAGGATGGATTTCATCACCAAGGACTATCACTAAGCTGACAGGTAGAGGCATGAAGATTCATAGACAACAGGAATACAAGTGCTTCAATATGGTAAAATTATATTTATTTTACAGCATCCAGAAGAGATGCAATGATTTTTTTAAATCAAAACTTAAAAGCTTCTCCTCTCCAAAAATAAATAGTTTTTAGTATACTTTCTTTTCCATGCAAGTTACCTGACCAATGCAGGATTCTTGTAACAGAAACAATCATCGCCTTTAAATTTCAAACATTTTCCATATAAAGAGAGGGGGATTTTAAAACATTATAGATTCCCACACTGAAGTGCCAGCCATTCATTAGTAAAGTCGGCAGCGGAGTGAATGGCTGTGTTCTTTCCATGAAAACCAGAGTCATTTCCTTGGCAACGCTTACAGCGTGTAATATTAAATGGTACCGTTCATTTTCCTTGGTGCAGAAAACAATCACAATAATCCTATTAAGTGATAATATTAGGCAAATGTAAGTTTGAGCTCAAAGTGGCTTGTCACTGAGAGTTAAGTGCCTCACTAAATCCATTGCATGCATTTACACAACACCAAGTAGAAGGCAGTATGCTAACTACAAAAGCGCAGAGCACTAGCTGTGAACAAATGTGCTTTCCTTTAAGATCACTGTGGTTACACTACATGTGTCAAGGTTCCTCCCCCACTCTGAACTCTAGGGTACAGATGTGGGGACCTGCATGAAAAACCTCCTAAGCTTATCTTTACCAGCTTAGGTCAAAACTTCCCCAAGGTACAAAATATTCCACCCGTTGTCCTTGGATTGGCCGCTACCACCACCAAACTAATACTGGTTACTGGGGAAGAGCTGTTTGGACACGTCTTTCCCCCCAAAATACTTCCCAAATCCTTGCACCCCACTTCCTGGACAAGGTTTGGTAAAAAGCCTCACCCATTTGCCTAGGTGACTACAGACCCAGACCCTTGGATCTTAAGAACAATGAACAATCCTCCCAACACTTGCACCCCCCCTTTCCTGGGAAATGTTGGATAAAAAGCCTCACCAATTTGCATAGGTGACCACAGACCCAAACCCTTGGATCTGAGAACAATGAAAAAGCATTCAGTTTTCTTACAAGATGACTTTTAATAAAAATAGCAGTAAATAGAAATAAAGAAATCCCCCCTGTAAAATCAGGATGGTAGATATCTTACAGGGTAATTAGATTCAAAAACATAGAGAACCCCTCTAGGCAAAACCTTAAGTTACAAAAAAGATACACAGACAGAAATAGTTATTCTATTCAGCACAATTCTTTTCTCAGCCATTTAAAGAAATCATAATCTAACACATACCTAGCTAGATTACTTACTAAAAGTTCTAAGACTCCATTCCTGGTCTATCCCCAGCAGAAACCAGCATATAGACAGACACACAGACCCTTTGTTTCTCTCCCTCCTCCCAGCTTTTGAAAGTATCTTGTCTCCTCATTGGTCATTTTGGTCAGGTGCCAGCGAGGTTACCTTTAGCTTCTTAACCCTTTACAGGTGAGGAGCTTTCCCCTGGCCAAGAGGGATTTCAAAGGGGTTTACCCTTCCCTTTATATTTATGACAACATGTAAACTAAAAACAGAACTTTTCAAGCAAACAACCTGATTTCCTCCATAAAAGAGGGATGGACCGCCATGACAGAGACTTCTTATTTTAAAATGCGCATTATGCAGCATCAATACAGCACACCTTACGTGGATTAAAAACTGGCTACCTGACAGATCTCAAAAAGTGGTTGTCAATGGAGAATGATCATCAAATGGGGATGTTTCTAGGGGAGTCCCACAGGGTATGGTACTAGACCAGTGGTTCCCAAACTGGGGTTTGCAAAATGTTACAGGGGGTTTTTTGGGGGAAATTCCCTAGTGGCGGACAGAGCTGTCCCTAGGGACCCCGGGCAACATGGGGGCAGCAGCCCAGAGCCCCTGGACTTCCAAGAGCTAAGCAGATCAAAGCAAGCATATCTGTCACAATGAGGAGATTTAAACTTCAAGACTCCTTATAAGAAATGGAAAGGGGGGTGGACATTTTTTGCTGTTTTTAAAATTAAATAGGCGGCTAGTATTGTTTTTAAAATTATTATGAAGAACAAGTTTAAGCTTTGTTGTAACGTGCGTTGTTTGCCCGGACTGCTCAAGACCTGAATGCTGGTGTAGGAGGAACTCTGAGTTGGCTTCTTAATATCTTCCTGCTGTTTCACATCTGATACTCCTTGATGAAACATAGGAGCCTTGTCTTATAACACGCTTATTCAAAGTGATACAAGCTACGAAAGTGAGATCTTGGAAGAGTGTTGCCATTTTCATAATGTAATAAAAATACTGTAATGATAAATAATAATAGTGTGTAATAAGCATGTCATTAAAACAAATTTTATATTTCCAAGATCACTGCTTTTATAATTTATACTCGGGTAAAGGAGAAAATACCTGGAAATATTCATTTTTAGGAGGGGGTTTGCGAGACTTGACATTTTATTGAAAGGGGTTCACAGGCTGTTAAAGGTTGGGAACCACTGTACTGGACCAAATGCTATTAAACATTTTCATCAATGATCTGGAAATAAATACAGAAATCACTACTGGTAACATTTCTGAATGACAACGAGTGGTGGAGTGGTTAGAACTGATTATACTTAGGACAGTCATACAGAGTGATTGGTATTGCTTGATAAACTGGGCCCATTCAAACAAAAGGTGTCTTAACACAACCAAATGCAAAAAGTTATACAACGAGAAATGTAGGCCACACTTACAGAATGGAGGACTGTATCCTGGAAACCAGCGACATTGAAAGGATCTAGGGGTCGTAGTGAACAAACCACTAAACATGAGCTCCCAGGGCAATGCAATAAGAGCTAACGTGATCCTTGAATGTATAACCAGGGGAATACTGAGTAGGAGGAAGGTTATCTTACCTCTGTGTACTGCATTGGTGAGACCAATACTAGAATACTGTGTACATTTCCAGAGTCCACACTTTGAAAAGGATGTTGAAAAGTTGGAGAAGGCGCAGAAAAGAGCCATAAAAATTGTTAGAGGGCTGGAGAAAATGCCTTACAGTGAGAGATTGAAGGAGCTCTACTTATTTAGCTTATCAAAAAGAAGATAGAGGTGATGATTGCTACCAGTAACTAACTGCTTGGGGAATAGAAATTTGATAACAGAGGGCTTTTCAATCTAGCAGAGAAAGGCATAACAAGATTCAATGACTCGAAGTTGAAGCTAGACAAATTCAGACTGGAAATTAAAAATTTAACCTTAAGTTAGGTTAATTAACCATTAGAACAATTCACCAAGAGTTATGCTGGATTCTCCATCACTGGAAATCTTGAAATCAAGATTACACGTTTTTCTAAAAAGATCTGCTCTAGTTCAAACAGGAATAAAGGGAAGTTCTCTGGCCTGTGTTATACGAGAGATCAGACTAGATGCTCACAATGGCCCCTCCTGTCTTTATAATCTCTGAATCTAAAAATAGTTAACATTTGTATATAACCTTACATCTTCAAACCACTTTGGAATCATTAATGGAACTGAACAAATTCTGTTAGGAATGTATGGTATAATCAATTCTAAAGTACAGGATAGCCTTGGAGTTAAGGCACTTAGAATCATAGAAGATTAGGGCTGGAAGAGACCTCAGGAGGTTATCTAGTCCAATCCCCTGCTCAAAGCAGGACCAACACCAACTAAATCTTCCCAGCCAGGGCTTTGTCAAGCCGGGCCTTAAAAACCTCTAAGGATGGAGATTCCACCACCTCCCTCAGTAACCCATTCCAATGCTTCACCACCCTCCTAGTGAAATAGTGTTTCCTAATATCCAACCTAGACCTCCCCCACTGCAACTTGAGACCATTACTCCTTGTTCTGTCATCTGGTACCACTGAGAACAGCCTAGCTCCATCCTCTTTGGAACCCCCCTTCAGGTAACAGAAGGCTGCTATCAAATCACCCCTCACTCCTCTCTTCTGA